TTGCTGGGGTAGTTGGGCTGGAGGGATAGCGACCCAGTTGTTTGGAAACTGGAAGCCGCGACGCACAGCGTTTTGGTGGAAGGCCCGTGACAGCTTTGTGCAGTCGTAGGTAGTGTGACCCGTCATACAACAGTAATCACAAGTGCCACGAGTGGCGCGTTCCGCTTCGCGTTGGGCGCGGCGGAACGGGTTGCCGTACCCGCTGTCGGTTGGCGGAGGATGGTTCGATCCACCAAGTTGAAGCGCCGACGTTCGAGTCGAGTCTGGCGCTGTAGCGGACCCGTGGGAGCCGGTGGAAGGCCGAGCCCCAAGGAAATCGGGATACCGCAAGGTTAGGTCGTGCCAGTGTTGCGCCAGAAGGGTTCGCAACTCGGCGTACGGAATGCTCGGACGAGCTCCGCGCCATACGTGTAGGTCCGGCGTGATGCACGGAGGCAACGACGCTAGTAGGGCAGACGAGAGGTGGGAGTCGCTAAGGGTTCGACCACCGTCCAGCTTTTCGACACTATGTCGAAGCTTGTCAAACATGCCAAGGTTCACCTCAAGTGAGACGTGTCTCTCGAACTTGAAGGTATGGAACTTGGTGTAGACAGTCACCGCCGACGCATGCTTTTGCTCTTCGCTGCAAAACTTGCTGCGGAGCCAAGTGATAACGCAATGCGCACACTTGTTCAGGTTCGCCGCAGCCGCATCTCGACGAACAGAGTCGGAGAGCGAGGCGTAAACCAACGCACACGAGCGCTCGACGTCGGCGAGCTCGGTGCGGACCATCTGGTCCATCTGTCCCTTTGCTGCTCGAGCCGTGGCGAGTACAGTAGAGCGATGCTCCGCCAGGTACTCCGCCACTGGCGAGGACAATGCAACAGGGAGTGCATCGAGTGTCGGAGGAGGTAGAGGAGACGCGTCCGAAGGTCGAGACACTACCTCCTCTTGATGCGCGCGAAGCTTCTTGACGTCGCCGTCAAGGACTCGAAGTGCCCGACGGAGTCCTTTCATGGACCAAACGACTTCGACGTCGGCGCACTTCGTCGCCTGGGCGGTAAGTCCTTCGCCTTGCAGGACGATCGTGGTCAACTCGAAGTGCCACTCGTCAAAGTTGTCGATGCCACGAAGGTGGTTCGTGACAGACAGGATCGGGCGAGAAGCCACAGAGTTCGGCGTTGTGGTGCTCATAACCAGTTGGAGGGGCAGGTAGCAAAGGGAAAACACGGAGT